AGGGCAGACTGCATCTCATTCTTGATTTTGAAACTGTAAACATGAAGCAAATTAAGTGGAATCCATTAAGTCTCAAATCAGAGAGAAACTCTCATCTAGCAATTTGTTGGCTTTAAAGAACTAGATTTTGGACTTTAATGCTCTGGCACAAATTCCATAGTATTTATTGAGATCATTAAAATTTACAGGATGACTTCACTTCAAAAAAGGAACATTTCATTCTTTACAAGATTGATCTAGTATGATTCAGATGGTTTTGATTATAAGAAATGGCTTCAAATTATGGTAAGAGCTGTTAGAGATAATAGTTCCTCTGATTCTATTAAGAAATTAGTTATCTTTAGCAAGGACTACAAAAACTGATGAATGAGAAAAGGGACCTATCAGAAGGAATCTGAATTCACTATCATATGAAATCCTCATGGTTTGGAAGTTGGTAGCAATAAGCTAGAAGAAGATTAAGGTATAAGTGACATAAGACAATCCTAATCTTTTTACATGCTTAAAGAGGTATTTTTCTGCTTTTTTTAAAAATGAGAAGACCTAATTTTTCTATTTATTTTTTTTAAATGAGGACTATATACCTTCAGTATATAGTCTGTCTTCATAGATTAAATTTGTCCCTTTGTAGCCTCAGTGAGAGAAATTAGAATCCCAGTAAGTCTGCAATGCCATATTAAAAAAGAGTTGCTTCCTAAGAGGAGAAAAATGGTTGCAAAATTTGCCAGTCTGAAATCACCGAATCCAGGCCACACTCTCTTTTGGGGAGCCTTTTACAGCCAAGTGGAGAATGTCTTAGAATAGGTGTGCGGGAGCTAGAGAACCCAGAGACCCCGGGGAAAGCAGCGGCGGGATAGCCGCTGCATCGGGCCCGCCCTTGCCCGGCGAGACAGGGCACTCACAGAGTGATTGCAGCTGGGGTCGCCGAGAGACGGAGTTAAAAGGGCCGGCAGTCCACAAGACGGCAGCAGCAGCGGAACCAGAAGTGCCCGGACAAGCAGCGGACACCAGCGACGTGGGAGGCAGGCAGAGGCGATCCACCCAGCACTGGACCCGCACGTTCTGGGGCGCGGGTAAGACCCCGGCAGGGGACCAGGTCAAGGCAGCGGGGAGCGGAAAACCCCAGCCCGGCCGTTCCCCTCAGAAGGCAGGGGAGACAGTGGGGCAGAGCGGCTGGTGCAAGGAGGGAGCACGTACCAGTCCAGTGTGCAGGTGACAACCCTACAAGGGGGAAGATTTTTCCTTCGCCCGAAGTCCCAGGGGAAGAGGGACACTCCGCGGGAGAAACAGGGTCGTAGGGACCCCGCGGACAGAACTCCCTGCTGGAGAAAGTGCGGCTCAGCCCAGTGCGGAAAACTGGGCGAGCTGAACCCCGCGGGAAAAGGGGGCATTGATCTAAGGACTATTTAGGCCAGTGGGAACCCTATAACCGGAGGCCAGGGTGAGGGTGTAGGGGTGGAGGAGCCCT